AGTTATATGTCTGTCTTTTATATCATTAATTCAGAATATTAAAACAAAGTTCAAAAATAATAATAATTACAATAATGATAATAATAAAGAACAATTTGAATTAAGCTAATATTTTTATAAAAACTATAGTTTACAATAAAAAAATATAGAAAATTACAAAAAAAAGCTTGAAGGAGTATGCTGCTGATTAATACATGCATGGCGCCATCTACCGATATAAACGTGTCATTACACACTGATAGGGCGATGGATAGAAAAGGTAAGTAAGCAGAGCCATCACTATGAATTACTACAGTACACGATGAAATACTACACTATGAATTACTACACTATGGACTACTACACTATGAATTACTACACTATGAAGTACTACACTATGAAGTACACTATGAATTACTACACTATGGACTACTACACTATGAATTACTACACTATGGACTACTACACTATGAATTACTACACTATGGAGTACTACACCATGAAGTACTACACTATGAAGTACACTATGAATAACTACAATATGAATTACTACACTATGAGGTACTACACTATGAATTACTACACTATGAAGTACTATACTATGAATTATAAGGGTATTATTTATATGTGGTATTGTCCACAGTGTTCAATGTATTACATGTCTGTTGTAATATAATGTAATGAAAAGCGCTTTGGGAACTTGGAAAAGCGCTAAAATGAATATAATTAATTAATATTATAAAAAGCAATCATTTGTAAAACATACTCGGTTACAAGTCCTACATTAAAACAAGTAGTACTCAATATGTGTAATGGACCATTTTCATGATTATATCATTTTGATGACCGGATTATGATTATTGATGCATTAATCACAGCTGGTACAGGTGGAGCTTATTTGAATGACTTTGCTCATGGATATCTTATATGTATACTGTATATCATAGTTCATTTAAAGTTGATTTATATTTCTGTTGGCTGGTAATTGGAATTAAGTAAATTAAGCTGCTGTAAAGTAATACATCTTTTGCAGTAAAAAGTACAATACCAGCTTTGAAATTGTGGTGGAGTATAAGTATCATATCATAAAATGTAAATACTCAGGAAAAATACCACAGTTAAGTACTTGTACTAAAGTACTTGTATAGACCATGTATTTTGTTACAATCTACCATAGGATAATTGTATATGATGTAAAGCAGGGTGCAGGGTTGCCTTGCATAATTACAGATCTGTTGAATACAGGGGTAGATGTATGCTATATCATTATATATTATTTAAAAGTAGTATGATTGAGAATCAGAGTTAGTGTGTGCACAGACAGGAATTTTACTTAAAAGATATACAAAATAATTATATATTTTTAATAAAAATTGTAAACATAAATACATAGTGTGCAAATGCTGGATAAATATGACATAACAACGCAACATGTTTAACAAATGATGGAGAGAATGTGATGAGCAGAAGGCAAACCTTCATTTTGCACATGCAGCTTTGAGTGGTTTCTGGGAGAAGGCCATCAAAAAAGAAAAAACACATATCCCACTACTTGGAAAAACACCAGAAGAAATTGATAAATAAATAAATGTACTGATTCCTAGGGACCAAAGTTTCAACACATTACATTGGTTAACCCTCCTGTTGTCTTCGGGTCAAATCTGACCGATTTACTACTTTCATCAATCATAACTTTTTTGTTTTACATTCGATTGCATTAAGGCTTTATGATATCCTTCACAGTAGACATTTGAACATATAACATTGCTGATCACCACTTTCATTGCATTTTGGACGATTTAGTCAACTTTGTAACACCCATGGTGTTCCCGGTCAAATATGACCGCCATAAAGAAAAGGAATTAGTAACCATCCGGATCAGATAGAACACACACACACACACACACACACACACACACACACACACACACACACACACACACACACACACACACACACCCACACACACACACACCACACACACACACACACACGCACACACACACACACACACACACACACACACACACACACACACACACACACACACCTGGCACACACACACACACCTGGCACACGCAATACATGTTCAGTGTCTATTCTTTGTATATTTACTGCAGTTTTTCATGTATACCAGTAGTCTGATACAATATTTACAGTTTGAAAGGGTGTTAAATGACATTTGGTGATGATTAATGGTTTTTGTGTTAATGTAATAGCAGTTAAAACAGGACCGGTCAAATTTGACCGCAAACACCAAAGTAAGGGGGGGGGGGGGGAACAAAGACAATATTGTCTTCCTATTGTCTTCGTTTGTCTTCCTATTGTCTTTGTTTCCCCCCCCTTACTTTGGTGTTTGCGGTCAAATTTGACCGGTCCTGTTTAAAAGAAAAACTCATAAATGATAAAAGGAAGGATCTCGTAATTCCATATGGAATGGAAAAAACAACAAGAGAAATTCAGTTCAGATCTGTGACGACGGGTGCGTGACACAACACACACATTAAAAATGAGCCTACGGTTAGATGATGAAAGGTATATATTCTTATGAAAATGAATGATGTGTCAATTATCTGTTAAATGAATCCTGTAAATCCTCTATCTGTTTTCCCTCTTTTCTGATGTGTGGATTGTTATTTCATGTATTTGTGTATGCCTTAATCATTTCTTAAAATAGAAATAAAAAAAGTAGATAATGTAACATGTTGCTTTATGCACGAGGTAGATGAATATGGCAGTGTATATAATAATACACAGTGTATTTTAACATGAGAGCAGTGGGTATTTAAACGATGAAACGTGGTGATGTTACCTCTACTACTTTTTCCACAGTACCTTGTTATTTTCTATGGATAATAGAATAATAAATACTGAATGTTTTGCATCTCTTGAGCAGATTGAAATGATTGATATTATAATGGTATGACTGGTGGTGTCAACACCAATGCCACGACCTGTGAAAAGAAGAAGGGTCAAAAAAAGGTAAAGAGTTCCACTGATACAGTACTGAAATATTAATGAAGCTGGTATTACACACAGAATATGACGCACAGAGAGCAGCGTGTGTGAAGGCAGTTCATATGGTTCACACTGATCAAAGACAAGATAAGATCAAAGTACACACATCAATTATAAGAATAAAAACAGGAGCATACTGTATAAAGATCCGTATGAATAAAAATAACTATAAAGTCATATTTGATCTTTAAACTGGTTGATGGATGCTGGGTGGTGAGACAGGGCAGTGGAGAAGCTGCTCACAGATGATTGACAGCTGGAACACGAGGTTGGACAATAGATGGGTTGTTGCTACACTTATGGTTCGGAAGAAAGTCTTCCAGAATCAAAAATCTAATCTTCCCAGACTTACCTCCTAACACATGTAACAAAGGGATTGTGTAAATTGGACAAATGTAATCCTTTGAACAGCTTTTCGTCACAATATGGTTTACCCAAATCCCATTCATTCAGATTCTGTAAGTGAGAAGTTATCTTTCGGACATTGCTTCAAATATATGACTCTGGGGTGGAAACAAAATGTCTAACTAAGCTGGTTAAAATATTACAAGTTACCCATCAAGATGAACAACACAGTATAATTAATGTAACAAATAAATGGGAAAGTGAACTATCCTGCAATATTCCAAAAGAAGGTTGGGAACACATGCAAACACATTCCTAGCATAACCAACTACTGGAAAGAATACACATGGAAGGTTTTGATTTAGACACCCCAGATCCAGTCAGTATAAACAAAATGTCACTTCATATGCTGGAGAGAATGCGGGGAGCAGAAGGCCAACCATGGTCATATATTTTTGGTCTTGTAATATTTGTGTGGCTTCTGGGAAACAGTTATAAGAGAAATGTCAAATATGTTTGGCATTTCTCTAAACAAGGACACACTACTTGGGATAACACCAGAGGGAATACAAAAAAAAAAGGTTCCTACTTACTTTTAGTGATAAATGTGGGGGAAACCTCTGAAGCAATTGGAGTCAGGACTCAGAGAGACACGAGGAGAGCTGGAGCTTTGATGGCAAACTCTGACGGTTTATTTGGAGCTTCGGCCGGAGAATTCACAAGACATGTTACGGGCCACGAGTTGACCACACTGTTGAGATACCACAATCAATTCTGAAGACCCCTCCTGTAGCTCCAGGTTTTAACTAGTTCAGAGTGTAATAATCAACATTCTTCAATAGATAGACTAAACAGCTGAGGACACTGAATGACATTAGTTGTCGCTTATGGCTCGGGCTCATCTACACCCAGAGAAGGATGTGTTCCAGGTGTCCCACAACAATAACTATCTCTGACTGAGAGTTGCCCGGTCATAAACTGGCAGCATCAACAATATGCTAGGGCAGCCCCTCCTTCAGGGAGATAGCATGCTGCCCAAGGCTGGGCATCTGCGTCAGAGGGCAAAAGGTAAACATCTATGGAAATGATTCCCTGACAATAAGAATAGTAATTATTAAACAAGTACAAGGAATTGGTTAAAAGATAATAACTGAATTAACTCACTATGGAAGAATATAGTAAATGAGATTTATGGAAGGGAGAAATGAACCATGAGAAGCAGCCACCAGGTTCATATCTTTGATGAGAGATGGGAGAAATGTGTAAATGATAGACCACACAACATTAATGAAGACCAGGTGGATAGGATCTGACAGTTAATGTATGAATCTTAATGTTTTATCCATTATGTGTAAACTATACCTTATAAGTTCATTTAAATGTGTTTTTTTCTTTTATCCTGACTTGCCGTTTGTTATGTAGATGATGTATCTGTCTGTGTTTGTGATGTATGCCTTGTAATGAAATCCTTTCTTAAAATGTAAAAAAAGAACTATAAGGTAACATTTGATCCTTAAACAGGCTGATGAAGAGACTGCTGGAGGGCTGAGACACACAGATGATTGACAGCTGGGTGTCAATCATTGACAGTCCCGATTGATTTACAATTATGTTCTATATAACGTATCGGAGTCTAAAGACAAGCACACATCACCTGAGACTGTTTATGATTTTGTTTATTTGCACAATTAAACAAAGCCAAAGAAGCACAACAAAAAAGAAAATAAGCCAGATGTCCTAGTGAAAGAACCTCCAGACTCAGGCTGCTGAATGAAAGGAGGAGACAATAACTGAAAATAATATGAAATGAAATAATATTTGGCAAACATACGATTTTTTAAGAGTCTCTCACTAACTTGCACGCACGAACGTAATGTATGTAGGTAGATGCCATGGAAACAGCTCGTTGAGCCTGTAAAGGGATAGAGACCATTCAGATGTTTCACTTCACATCGACTTGACACAAGTTGACTTGACTCTTTGAGTTGAACCTGCAGCACCTGGCAACTACACACCATGTACAACAACAAAAATGTTTACTTAATTTTAGCGTTTGAAATGTGAATGTATCCCTGTAAAACCACACAAAGCTGTATCAGTTTAGAAATAAGTTAAGCTTTTTGAGTTTAAAGGTGGACACTTGATAGAATGTTTGCAGGCCTGATGGTCAAACTCAGATTTGGTGAAAGCAGAAAATCATTCCACGATTTTCCGTGTAAAATGAATGTTTGTTAAGAAAAGGTTTCTGAAATGTATAGCTGGACAGGAGTGCAATGTAATAGCAATGAGTGTAGTGATTTGAAAGCACTGTTCATTTGATTTCATTTGGTTTTTTTGAACAAATTGTGGAAATTTGATATCAAAATTCAGTGATATGTTACCTATAATCCAGGGGAGTCCAACTCATTTCAGTTCAGGGGCCACATAACGCCACATTGGATCTCATGGGCCAGACCAGTAAAATCATAGAATATCAACATATAAATAACCACAACTCCAAATTGTTCCCTTGGATTTAGTGCAAAAATACACACAATATGAAGTTGTTGCATTTTTATGTAATCACTCTATTCTTTAAATAATGTTTGCAACTTAAAAGGTACATTTAAATCAATACATTCTTTGGAGATCTATAAATTGAGCTCTGGCGCCATCGTGTGTAATTCAGGTCTTATTGCATTATTATCAGCTCCATGTTTGCAGTTTCTAATAAATGAATTGTGCAATATGTCTAACACAGCCTGTGGGGATCAAATATGTTTCATATTTTTAGTACAAGCAGGACAGGTAATGAAAGATAACACTAATACTGTGTGTGCTGTGTTTCTTCACTATCGTACTAATGATCTTTGTTCAACAACTGAAATAATGTGACGCTTTTCTTAAAATGTTTCTATATTTAATTTGATTACTGCATAAAGGAAAGTCGCAAAACATTGAAACTCACAACAGTAATATTATGAAAATATATATTTCCTTATTCACAGCATGTAAGCTGACGCCTGGTGATATAACACTGGTGTTGTTGATCGTACAGCCGACATGTTTGTACACACTAGTTTGTATGTTAGTTACGAGTCAGTGAGAGTCATATGCCATACGGAGATAGGACTGGTCCTGGAGCAGGGTCTCCCCCCCAGCACCAGCAGCAAGTCAGGCAGATGCTGAGCTACATCTTCCTCTTTCTCCTCCTCCTCCTCCTCCCCCTCCTCCTCCTCCTCCTCCTCCTCGGTGCGGCTCCACTGTTTCCTCACAGCCTTGTTCTCAAAGGTCAGACAGTTTTGGATGAGCGGGGGCTCAGTGACCGTGAAGCTCTCTCTGATGTAGTCCTGTTTAGAGCATTGTGTCTTGCCCCTGTAGCAGCTGAAGGTCTCCAGCTCGATGGCCCCCTCCGACCCCAGGAAGGTGAGCTGTGCAGGGAAGCACTTATTCTTGAAGGGCCTCAATTTCCCGTCCAGCAGCCCGGGCTGGAGCTCTGAGCTGGGGGGAGGGCTGCTGCTGTCAGACCTGTAGCTGGCCCCCAGCCCGGTGCAGCAGTGGTGAATCTTGTGGGGGGGGTTGGAGCCTGGGAGCGTGGCTACCTGCCCCCAGGACTGGCTGCTGAAGTGGTACCTCCAGAGGCAGTTCTGTGGAGAGTTCTGGCTCTCGCCCCCCCCGAACAGAAGCATGCTGTCCCTGTAGGCCACCGCGGAGTGGCCCCTCAGTCTGGAGGGGCCGGACCTGGGGGAGTGAAGCAGAGGTAGGAACACAATCAGAATCAGCTTTATTTTCCCTGGTGTATAGGTGCATACAAAAACACATTAAGTATTAAGTATTATTGGTGGTGGGCGTGCACTGGGGTTTGGGGTGGGGTAAGAGGTTGTTTAACCTGGCTGCACTCACCTGCTCAGAGTGCTTTTGTATGGAGAGAGAGGGGGTGAGTCGGGGGGGAAAACGTTCTGTTGACCACAAATGTATACTGAAATCCTGCAACATTTTTCCACCGCAATATCCCTAACCATCAGTGGCATGGCAATGGTTATCGGCACTTTGATATATTGTATTTGTGCTTGTTTCTCCTGCAATAAAAGTTTAAACAGAACGGAAGGAGTGGAGCATTTGTTTGAGAGTCTCAAAGTGTTTATCTTCCCGTGTTTAGCCCCTTGCTGGCCGCTTTTATTGGACTGCCTATAGCCGCAACAATGTCAACAGAAAACATGTCAACTGCAGCGTTGATCTACGGAAATTGGATGCTTATAGGGGATCTCTTGGATCGGTCTGGAACGCTGTGGATCTTAAAGGTAGGGTAGGTAAGAATGGAGAAACCAGCTCGAGTGCGCTAGAATTTGAAAATACACAACCGGAAAAACTTCCAGACTTCCTTACAGAGTCCCTCCTCCAACACACACGAACGCGCACATGACCAATGAGGGCACGAGATAAGTTTGTGCACGAGATGGAAGGCTGACAGGCAGGTAGGCCATCCAGTTATTTTAGCCGGGCCGGCTAAAATGATTGGTCGTACTTTTTACAGCGCCACGGCTTCCACAGATGAAATGTTTTTATGTATTTATTGTCAAAGCATTGAATGTATTCATTGCTATCGGGATGTTAAGAGCATTCCATGGAATATAACAAAAAGTGTTTCTGAAGTGAATTACCTACCCTACCTTTAAAGGAAACAGTCAAACGCCAAGATCACCGTTTTATTGGAGTAGGGCACAAGAAAGCAGAGGCCTGCTGCTACGAGGTGAAGCCAGATAGCCATCGACACAGCAAATTCCTATTGGGGACTCGTTGCTTGCTTGTGTTGGTTTTGCTGCTCGTGGTTATTTATTGCTTGTGGTTATTTACAGCAGTAAATCGTTTTATTGATTGATTGACTTGGTTGCGTGGATTGGAATATTTTTGGTATGCTCACTTAATGGTAAATGCCAAATGCGAATCAAAATCTAACTCTGAGGTCAATGTGTCAAACATTGATGGACAAAAGAGAGGAATCAAACTCGCTGGTTAAGGCATTGGGAAATAAAATGGAAAGGCTCCAGAAAGAGCGTCAATCAAAGGTTCTCAAAATGAAAAGTGTGATCAAGGCAATGAAGGATCTCATGCAAAAGGATGGAAATGCCCCACAATTAAAAACTCAACTGGGGGATTTAATTCAAATGGGTGAAGAAACCACAAAGTTGCATGAGTCTATAATCCCTTTACTTCTTATGGAGGAACAGGAAAAACAAAATACATGGTTTACCAACGTACTTAAATGCAACAATGGATTTATTGAGGACGTTAAGCAATGGCTTTCTAAAACGATGAGACAACTAAGCCATACCATTGCACATGATGCTTCAAGTGAAATATCTAATAAACACCACAATACTATGTCTCATGTCTCCAAACACTCTGGGCAAAATGTGGAAGCCTCTGTCAAACAAGATTATATCAAAATAAGTGGCAGAGGCAAAGACCTTGCTAAGAGAGCATTTTGGGAACCCACAAAAAATAGTTTCTGCTTACATGGACAAAGCTCTTACATGTCCACCTATAGAGTAAAAAATGTATTAAAAAAATGTAAATTTTAGATCTATATGTCTATATACACCGGCGGCTGTGGCTCAGTGGAAAGTGTGCTGGACTTCGAATCAGGGGATAACAAGTTTGAGTCCCACTGCAGTCAGCATGTCGTTGTGTCCCTGAAGACACTTCACCCCAAATTGCTCCTGTGGGGATTGTCCACAGTACTGAATGTATGTAAGTCGCTTTGGATAAAAGCGTCTAACAAATGACATGTAATATGTACCGTAAGTACATTATAAGCATAAACATTAACATATTTGTTTTTAAAACTAACTCTGTATATTTTATTAAACACAGTACAAGTGTTTTGCGTCAGTGGTGTTTTTAGCTGTGGACCTAAAGCCCCCCACCCCCCCCCCCCCATAGAGGACAGACTGACGGGTCATGTGACTTCTCACTTGTTTCTGAGGGGACTCCACATGTGGCTGCAGGAGTCCCACTTCCAGAAGTCTCTCTGCTCCCGCAGGCCCTTCAGGCCCCCGAACAGGTACAAGCAGCCTTGGTGGGCCACGGCTGAGTGACTGTGTCGGGGGCCGGGGCCCAGTGAGGCCTGCTGGGAGCCGCTCAGCAGGGACCAGGCCATGGAGTCTGTCATGAGGAACAAGTAAACACATACATGTTACTATCACAATATGAAACGTCTGTGTGCAGGACACTGTTTGGTGTGATGAGCGCAATGAGAAGCTCCTTCCACTGATGTTACACTCCATTCATTGTACAATAAAGGGCAATTATCTTCACAATGGAAACTTGAAATATCTGAAGGCATTTGCAAATGAAAACATGTAAATACTACTTTAAAGTTTCAGTTTTACCTCTTTCATTCAACTGTTTAAAAAACTAACATTTCAAATCAAACATTACTATGTATTATGTCAATTGTATTATGTCAACAGAATTCACATAACTGTACAAGGTTAGTTGGAAGCAATAATAATACATTTAAATAGATTCAACTTAATATTATTGCTTTCAAGTAACCTCATACAGTTATGTGAAATGTGTTGACTAAATACATTTAATTAAAGTCAACGTTTCAGTTTTTTCAGTGTACTATGCTTTTCTAAAATATTTAGTCAAAGATGATATATTAGAAGAAACCAAAAGTGTATCTTCCGATGTATCGGGAATATACATATACAGTGTATTAAAGAACATTATTATTCTTTGCAGTATGTCAGCCATATCCTTTTCTCAGAGAACAGAAAATGTAGTAATTACATCAAATCACATTTTTGACATCTCAGGCGACTGTTTCAGGTGAGGCTCAGGTTGAAAATCAGGAGGCTTGGTCCCTGTTGTCGTGTAAATGTGTCTGACAACTTGGGTTCGCTTTATGCTGCAAAGATGGCTGCATCTATGAGTGTTTCCTTTTCTTGAGGGACGAAAGAAACGTCAAACTCACCAAAATCCAGACTCCAGAAGTCCTGTGAGGACCCCTTCATGTCGATGAGTCCTCCGTACAGCAGCATGGAGGAGCCCAGCACCACGGCACTGTGGCCCTTCCTGTTGGTGGGCTGGCTCACACACACACAGACACACACAGACACACACACACACACACACACACACACACACACACACACACACACACACACACACACACACACACACACACACACACACACACACACACACACACACACACACACACACACACACACACACACACACACACACACACACACACACCTATTAACTCACAAATCCCAGGAGTCTATTATCACTAGTGTTTTTACTTGATTAAGTCTTGAACGTTTCTACATTTCTGTTGTTAGGATCCAAGGACTGTCATTGAGCACTCATCCTCCTGAAGATTAACACAAACACACTAATCAATGAAGTCCTGATTTTTGTTTACGACTACCCCACCTTTCTTCCTTGCTGACAATGAGTTTTAGCTTTGTTAGTTGCTACTGCTGAAGATATGACGGCAGTTTTTCTGCTACTTGTTCAAAGAAACTGCTGCTGAAGAGGAAAGAGGCTGTGGCTCAGGGGGTTGAGCAGTTTGACCCCCAGCCCCTGCAGTTAACATGTCAATGTGTCCTTGGGCAAGATACCTAACTCCAAATGGCTCCTGATGGCCAACAGTGTGTGAGTGTTTTTGGATCTTAGTTTAAGTAATGTATGAATTCTAAGTTGTATATGTAAATGCCCTTTGAGGGGTTGCAAATATTGAAAAAGCTATATTACATTACATTACACTATATTATAAATCCACCTCATTTAGCATTTAAAACAGCCCAACTTCCACGGAGGAACTACTTTACCTGGGAGTGGGCATGGTGCTGTTCACCATCATTTTACTTACATTTGCAATTCCATTCTCTAATGCAGCGGTTTTCAAAGTGTGAGGCGTGCCTCCCCGGGGGGGCGCCAGAGAGCTTACGAGAAACAGTGAAATCTAGCTAGTTAACTTCAGCTAACTTTATGCGAGCGGCAACATGGATCGTTTTTTTGTGAAGTTACCCAAAAGTGAGAGAGGAGACAGCGTCTGGCAGAAAACGTCACTTGCACACTTTTGGCTGTCTGTGGAGACCGAGTTCCCCCACCTCGCCAAAAAGGCTGTAAAAGTGCTCATTCCCTTCACCTCCACCTACCTGTGTGAGTGCAGGTTTTACACATTGACTTTTATCAAAAGCAAGTACCGGTCAACGCTGCAGCCAGAGGATGATCTGCGTTTATTCCTGTGTGCATCAAAGACGCAGACTCATTGTTCCCACTAAAGTAGGGGTGAGTGTAATAAGGAGGCAAAGTTGACGTTCAGTGTGTTGCCGGGAGCATATAAGGATTTATTCACAATGTTGAAAATGTTAAAAAATAAAAAAAATAAAATAAAAAACATAAAGATAAAAAGGTTTTAAAAAAGTTATTGTTTAATGTTTTTAGGAGGTGATGCTACTCAGCCAATCAAATCGGTGCAGTCCGTTAGTCAGCACGATAGATTCAAACACACACACAGAGACGAGACAAGAAGAGAGAAACAGTCGGAGTAACTTCAAATGGCGTGCTCAAAAAAGAGAAAGGTAGACAGCGAAAACAGAGCATTTAATTACATGTTCTCTTACTGGACCTCTTTGAAATGCAATTGAATACCCCTGCATTATAGCAACAACAACAATAATAATAATAATAATAATAATTGGGAGGGGGGGCACGGCTGTTCTTATGTTCTCTGAGGGGAGGCTCACCTTCCCACACTTTGAAAACCCCTGCTCTAATGTATCATAACGTATTACAACTACAAGTGAAAAACATGTCATTCTAAAATGTTTTTTCATGATTTATATGCTGTGTATTATCACTTTAAAAGGGGATCTAACCAGTTACATTCTGTTGTCGGTAACGATGTTACAAAAATAAACGTTTGAAAGAGTTTCCCCATGACAGGCGCTGTGTACCTGAGGGGAGCGCTTCTTGCTCTGCCAGTGCACCCACTTCTGCTGAGCTGAAACACAACACAGGAAAACAAAGCTCAAAAATATGTAACCTTATCCAAACAAGTGGAAAATGGAATGTGAAAAATCACCAAAATAAACACATGTTTGCACACTGTACACATATTTACAATTACTATTGTACAAATACCCTTGGTTTTAATAAACAGAACATCATATGAAACAATGTGAGAGTCCATAGATAAGTATTTTAATAATACAATTGTGTACACATCTGCTACATATACTGTACTGTATACTGTATCTTTGACAGTTTCCTTTGAATTCAAATCTTTATCTCACATATTTACTGGCACTGTACTTTTCAAAACTCTTTTTTCTTTATATAAAAGAACATTTATTTTGGGGGATTTAAACATCAATTGGCAGTGACCATGTTAATTATTTATTTTGAATAATAATAATAACTAGAGAATGCAATTCCTGAAGAAATTGCTAGTGGGAATGCTTTATGCTGAAAATCTGACGCTAAACTGCTATGCCGAAATGTAATGTGTAAGAAGAAAGTGAATAATTTAGATTGAAATGATACATGAACACTGGGGCCTTGAATGTGTGATGAGAGAAGAAAAGAAAGTAAAAGGCTTGGAAAAGCAGCAGAATATTTGAACTGCAAACTTTTGAACTAACTTGATGGCGAATGATCTGTCGCCATGCCAACGGCATTTGATGACACCCCATAATACGCTTAGATGCGTTGATGGCTGCATCGTTACCAAATCTGTGAAGTTTTGGGCTGTTTGGAGTATTTTCACTGAAGTTATGATAAAACCATGTTTCAAGGCGAGCATTGTGTTGCCATGGCAACGGCATTTGAAGAAATCTCAAAACTGTCCCGTAGATGTCTTCACGGCTGGACGTGAAGTTTGAGCACTTTTTGAACATTTTCATAGGAGTTATAGCGACATTGTCTTTTATGGCGAGGGATGCGTTTCCATGGAAACGGCATATGGTGAGATCTCAGATTTGGCGTAGAGCTGTTGAGGCATGGACAAGTGAAGATTGGGGGACGATTGGACCGTGTCGATTGGACTTACAGCAACATCGTGTTTCATGGCGAGTTGTCTGTCGCCATGGCAACGGCATTTGATGACACCCCATAATACGCTTAGATGCGTTGATGGCTGCATCGTTACCAAACCTGTCAATGTGACATCATCGTGTTCCATGACACAGGTGTTTATATTTGAGCTAACGATGACAGCTGTGTGTCACCAATAATGTATAAAATAGGTGGAACATGTTGAAGTCAGTATGAAGTCAGATCTCCATCAGACAGAAAATAATAGGCTCAGACAGTCTGTTAAACTCCAGTGACCACGTCGTTAGCTCAAACACGAACACCTGTGTGTTATGACATCATCGTGTTCCATGACACAGGTGTTTATATTTGAGCTAACGAGGTGTGCAGAGATCAAAGGTTTCCATTGTTCTGAATGAGAGATGAACCTCTTACATGTGAATGAACAGTTAGAACTGACTGCTGTCAGTTGGAGTGATGACATCATCGTGTTCCATTACACAGGTGTTTATAGTTGAGCTAACGTGCTCTGTAGAGATCAAAGGTTTGCATTGTTCTGAATGAGAGATAAACCTCTTACATGTGAACGTTTTGTGGAAGAACGATAACAGATATCTGTGAAATTTCAAAACGTGAAGCATGTCAAGGAAGTTGAGTATCTGACATGTAATTTTTGCGTACTTTCGGGTTAATAATGTGGCCTTTTTGGCAGTTTAACTAAAGGTGTGCGACTGCTGCTGTGAGGAAATATCTGCCTGAAATTACAATGGGCTTTAATGGAGACATGTTGAACGTTTTTGTCACTTCATGCCCTCAAGAGGCATTTTGTTTAATTATTTTGCTTAATTATTTGTCATTTTTCAAGCTACGAGATGTTTTCCTACGTTTGTCATGAAAAATGATGTCAAAAAGAATATGAAGGCACATTTCAAGAATTCCCACACTCTAGCTGTGACATCACGCACTCTAGTTAATGTTCAAATCTGAAGAAAACCTCTTTAACAAGGTCTGAACAATGTTTAATATCTCTAAAAGTAAGAATCAGATTTAAAAGTTGTGTTACACGAATAATGTCAGAAAGATGTGTAACATTTTAAAGTTGGAATGAGGTTTCTGAGTGAAAGTATGAATGAACAGTTAGCAGTTGAAGTCGCATGAAGATTTGTTGAAGTCTGAAGAATGTCTCCATTGACTTCCATGTTAAAAATTGGATGAATTAAGGGATGTATCTCTGGAATTATGAAAGTTATGAATGATAAAAGTAATAGCCTGCGATTCCCGACCGAGCTGAACGTTTTGATGTTTGAACAGAGTTTCTGCGATGTTGAATGTGGGAGGAGAAGAGGGCCAAAATAAGTGGGTGGAATAATAATAAGAATTTTGTCCGTAGCACAACATATAGTTGGAATGCTGTATCAGCATTCCCACTAAATAATACGTACATCACAAGCCAATCTTAAGTACAATACACTAGCTGTTGCAAAACAGATGCAAACATATAACTGTACACACACACACACACACACACACACACACACACACACACACACACACACACACACACACACACACACACACACACACACACACACACACACACACACACACACACACACACACACACACACACAGGAACCAACAGGTTGTGGTATTTGTACAGCAGGAAGCATGTCCTGTTATCGAGTCACAGCTGAATCACAGTGTAGCTAATCAACAGCAGAAACCACTGTTTACATGGTTAGCATTTCTCAGCATACATTTCATTTTTATGTTGTTTAATAATATTATGACTTTTTGTTCCAGAAAAATATACATTTTCATCTATAATTCTGAACTCTAGCACTGCAGTAATATTATCAGTGGGGGTTGGAGGCGTAGGGTGGAACTGACATGCAGCAACAGGTTTTTGGAAAAGCCAATAGCAAATGTGTTATATCTTGCACCACCTCCACAGTGAAACTCACCAATGTCAAACACCCAGAGGGGACATCTCCACTTGGTGTATGCAGAATCCAGCAGTCCTCCAAACACGTACAGGAAGCCCTGAGGACGTCACAGCGTAATGTTCACACACTGACACATCAGGCAGAGGGATATCAGCAGAGATACAAGCAACATAAGATCCTTTATATGCTTGTTATGGCAATACAAAATAAATACATAAAAATCCACTTGATGAGTTTGTACCTCATGAGCCACCATAGAATGTTCCTCTAGTTCTTCTGGTGCAGCGTCACTGGTGCAGTTTAACTCTGTCCACTCGTCACAAACTGAAATGTTGCAAAATGAATTTGATAAGTCGGCGATCTTGCAACACTACCCATCTTTCCTGTCCTTTGTACTTAGGGTTGCAAAGGGGCGGAACATTTCTGGTAAATTTCTGGAAAGTTTCCGGTAAATTTCCATGGGAAGTTAAGCTGGGGAATTTTGGAAATATTCCATATTTGAAATAAATTAATTAATTTAAGTTTTCCGCACTCTCGCAAGCTTAAGTTTCACTTTCGATTGCAGGATATAGCCCAGCGCAACACCTTCGTCACACATGTTCCCACGTGTTTGTACCATTTTCAGGCGATTTGTAATCTGTTCTAGAAAAACGATGTGTTTTTGGATATTTGGGGAGTTAGGTGGTCCGCGAGAGTTTTTTTATTGGTTAAGTGGTCCTTGGTATGAAAAAGTTTGAGAAACACTGTACTAGATGAATACATGTATATGTGATATTTGCAATTTAAACATTAAATAAATATATTACCCCATAATATCATCAAATCTTACTTCACTTTGTGTAGTCCACAGGCTCAAATGTGTGGCTTCATTTGTCTTGTGCTTTGGGCTCAAAAGTGTGGTCCAGTCTTCTAGAAATCATCTGTGCATGTGATGGAGGAATGCACAGTGCCTGTAGGGGGTGTGGTCTCAATAGCCATGCAGTAAGCAGTGTGCTATGTGCATGTGATTGAGGAATGGCATGGATATTCAAGTGTACTTGAATGGCATCTGTTTGTTTTAGTCAAGATTATGCTGAAATATACTTTCCCCAACTATATTTAAGTTCCCTATGAAGAGCCAACCTTCAATTTTGAAAATTCCCAGTTTATTCCCATAAATTCCCATAAATTCCCGTTAATTCCCGCTTATTCCCTTAAATTCCCATGGAAAGTTTCCATCTTTGAAAATTCCCGAAATTTTGCAACCCTATTTGTACTATCATACAAATCCATTTTCTACATATAGTATATAATGCATAAAATAAAATGCTTCATAACATCTGTATTACATTCATATTTTTGTTTTGATTTGATTTCTTTATGTTTTTTTAGGCCGTACCAAATGAAATTCTATTGAGTTTTTTCTAATGAAGCAAATCTCTGTCCTCGTATTTGATGACGTCATTTATGCTGTATTGATGCTTAGACCACCCCGTTAATATAGGTGCGTGTCTTCCTTTGAGTGCAGCACGGCAGAGAGCAAACTAATGTAAATTGAAGCTGAATACGTTGTTGAAAAAAACATGTTTTGAAAACGATTACATCTATCTCTTTTCTATTAACGTTGACTTTACAATGGTCTTGAGTAATTGGAATTTATAAAAAACAATATATTTAGCTTCAAAGTATTCGGTACAGTCCTGTTTTATTTTTGTCATCCAGTAGTAAAATCCTCCTTGAGGGCACTAAGGTAAAGTGGACAGTGTAGCCCTTACCCACGCTGTACCTCCAGAAGTCCCTCAGACTGCTGTTGTCTCGTCCTCCCAGGATGTAGACATGTCCACCAGAGCTGCAGCATGCGTGCTTGTAGCGGTCACAGGGGGTCCGGCTGCTGTGGGGGAGCCGCGTCCACAGGCAGGGACCACTCTCACTCATGTCCTGCATCCTCTGCGCTCATGACCATTTTCTAAATGAAGCAATATTTGAGAAAAGTTAGCACATCATGTAATAAATGCACCTTTAACCAAGTCTGTTTTCATACAGCCTTCTATTACACCCCCTATGGAGTGGTGCAATAAGGATGTCTTTTTGTAGGCTGACACAGAAGTTAGCATCACAAGGGCTCCCTCTACTAAAAGCAATGGGATTCTTACATTGGATTTCAGAATATTGCAGAAAATGAGCTCTGTGGCAAACACACGTTTATGATACCTTCATGTATTAACACCATAACAGATGAAGCTTAAATGCAATCACTAGAAGTAAAAAGCTAACTCTATAAACGGACTATATCATGGTCACATGACATCACCACCGCTAAGCTTGCAGCGTGATGACGTTTAGTAGTTTAATTGAGTCACTTGTTAACTGTTGTTTGTGGTGTATGTACTGATGTATTTGACGTCATCAGAGAAATCGTGAAAATCTCTTAAACCTGTGGTAACCACATATTATACACTTTATATCAGGCCTCTCCCCAAAAACACAATAAAAAATTAAACAAGTTATTTCCACATGTTTGGACTCACTCCTGCACCACTCTTGATTAGTTTACTAAGCTGACTGTAGGTCAGTTTGGTTGGGCGACCGTGGCTCAGTCTGTGGAGACTAGGGTTCACGTCCCGATTGGACCAATAAAAGCACAGAGTGGACTGGAGGTGCCAGTTCACTTCCTGGGCCCTGCCGAGGTGCCCTTAAACAAGGCACCGAACCCCTAACTGCTCCCTGGCGCAGGCATCAACTGGCTGCCTCTCCGCTCTGGACCTCTTCAAAATGCATGTGCATGTGTGCAGCTGTGTGTATTTGTACTGTGTCTTGTATAACAAAACATGCATGTTCATGTGCACCTATATACTTGTACTGTGTGTTTAAAACACAGTGTTGAAACTGAATGTACCTCTAGGGGGGATAGATAAAGATTCATGACTGACTTGTTCTTCTTTTTCTACAAATAACAACCAACACACAACTTTAAAAATCACATTTTGAAGTTGGGAAAAGTAGTATCACACAGCCCTCCCGGTCATTTTCCAGTGGTGATGTGTAACAACAAAAACACAACAGAAGCAGTCCAGCGGGGTTAGTGTCTGAAACACTGTGCTGCAGGAGTGAGTCCTCCACTTCCTGGTTAGCCAACAAAACGACATCATCCCTGTAGGACTTTATAGCGTGGGAATCGCGTTGGAGTAAGTCAAATATTGCCCAGCTGCACTCTTAATTTGTCATCTGTGTTTGCATCAGTGACCTTGATCACAGTGTCAAGAAAAGCCGAGAACACAGCACAGATCCACCAAACAACTTCCTGCTTCAGCAAACCACCATCATGCTGAGAAAATGAGCGTCAGGTACACTGAAAAAACTGAAACGTTGACTTTCATTAAATGTATTATGACAATGGATCTCACATAACTGTATGAGGTTAGTAGAAAGCAATAATATGGTTGTATTAGGTTCAACTTAGACCCCTTTACACGAGAACGAAACGGCTTGTATCTGCATAGTTTCTCTTGCACCTATTATTTACACGAGGCCGTAACAAAACGATAGAAACGGACCCCACAAACGATAACAGGTCCCAAGGTGGATAGATTTGCAAACGAAACGCTCTGGGGGGTCAAACGGCTCCGTGTAATCGCCTCTATACGATAATTTCCTGAAAAAATAACGATAGCCCCACCTCTCTCCGCCTCTGCTGCTCACTGCTGTAGCATGGCCAGTAGCTACTGTCAGTAGCTACTGCTAGTGCTACTGCTACTGACCATGCTACAGATGTTAGTGCAAAATCTACAGCTCCTCTACCACAACCATCAGCAACAAGTGGACATGGAGAATTACATGAACTACTACATGTTGCTAAATCCACCTCGGGGCATAAACAGAAGGGTAGCCATGGCAACCATGCTCCGGGGTCTTCTTTGCTGCTTTTGGTGTATTTTGTGGCGGAAGTTACAGCGCCACTTACAGTCCCGGCATATGTACTACAGCGTTTCCAGCGGTCTCGTGTGAACAGACACGTTAAATGAAACGAATGCATGTGAACGGAATACTTTTTTGAAAACGCATACTGTGCATAAACGCAAACATTCCCGTGTAAAGGCAGCCTTAATAGTATTGCTTTCAACTAACCTAATACAGTTATGTGAAATTCGTTGACATAATACATTTAATTAAAGTGAAGGTTTACGTTTTTTCAGTGTGCCTTGTGATGGTATGGCTCTGAGAAAGGAAAACGTCTGTTAATCACCGCATCATTAGGTAAATAACGTATTTAACTACTGTAGCTCCTACACTGGCAGACTGCCACATGGCACGAGGAGCTGTTGTGTGTTACAGTACAGAGTCAGTTGTTAAGGCTGTACCACGCTGGGACCTGGTGTCGGGAGGGGAAACACACAAACACTGGTGTCGGGAGGGGAAACACACAAACACACACACACACACAACACACACCGTGAAGCCTGGCTCTGGGGAGAAGCTCTCCTGTGGCTAAATGTTTTGTGCAGTAGTCGTAGAGTACCAGTCATGATTATTCATTATTGTGGTTTTATTTGATAATTTAGTTGATATAATGTATTTAAAATATGTTGCAATGTATGCAATCAGAGCAACACTGAGACAGATGTCAACGTTCTTGAGATAAAAAATAACGATTTTATATAATTTGTTGTGGATAAAATGGTTACATTTAGTAGTAGTTACATTATAAAATGGATAGTTCTAGGTCATGACACCCTCATCATAGAGCCAAAATCTACCAAAACACAGCTGTACCTGCAACACGGTTATAGTATAACTCCAACTAGTCACCAATAAAGTGGTACAGGAATGAGTCCTTAAACCTGGAAATTAGTCAGCATTTTACCACTTCTGGTTCCTTCGTCTAAAAGTCAATGTCCTTTTGAATGTGATTGTGTTTAAAAAAAAAATAGGTTTACACAAGCTTAACAGATGTTTACATTTTGTTCTACAACATTAATACATACTGGAGAATGTCTGAAGCTTCTATGTGACATAAATACAGCGGGTGCTAACAAGTAGCTAAATAGGACTAACAACATTACACCTAACATAAGATTCCTTCCATTAAGCCAGTGTTTCTCAAAGTGGGGGGCGCAGAGGCAAGACAGGGGGGGGCGCGAGAGACCAGGAGAAATTTTTTTTTAAAAATAAAATAAAAAACATAATCATAATTTGAAGAATTATTGATTCGAAAATAATATGATACAGTACAGTACAAGTACTTCTGGGTCTCTGTGTTTCATTCAAGCTCGGCTCTGTGTGTGTGTGGAACGAGCCATTTTGTGTGCGTGCCGAAAGAGCGCACCGGTACCGGAGATCGTTGTTGTTAGCTTCTGGTGCTAGCGAGCTACGCTAACGGATATAAGGAGCTTTTTCAACAACAAGGTGGAGGAGAGTCCTCTCCTGTCAGACTGAGAGACTCAGATAACCTCAGCTCAGGTGAAGTAAAGGGCTCTCTCAGTGTTTAGATAGTTAACTTTAGTCTAAGTTATCTCAGTGGGTCTCAAACGGTTTGGTCACGATTAATGTAAACAATTATTTCCGAGACACACGTTTATACGATCATTATAGTTATAAAAAAATAAGAGAATAAATGAAAAACAGGTATGAAATACTATATGACAGTAAAAAAATAATACAGTTTAAAAGGGGAGTGATTTGGAAGAAAAAGTAAATCTGTTTACAGTTCTGTTTCATATGGGTGTTGAGAGGTGTATCCATAGATCTCTTCATTTTGCTCTCAAAATGCACCAGATTGATGCTTTTAACTTCAATATTTAAAAATGTATCTTCCCGGGGGAGCATGCCCCCGGACCCCCCTATGTGAGGTCCACACACCACCTAAAAAAATAGCACTTTACCCCTGCTTACACCTATATGCCGTGAGCTGATTATCGAGCCTTCATTGTAACAGTCGCGGGTACACTGTGTATTTGCGTGGGGAGTGTTGCAGTAGAAAATTCCACTGTAGCGACCGGTACATTAATGGGAAACCCTAAATGTTTGAGCACCCTCTATGAAACGTCAAGCTACCCCACAGCACCCCCAAAAGAAAATCTCTGGCGCCGCCACTGAGCCTGCAACCCCGTTTTGAAGAAATGTGCAGTGCAAAACAGGCTCATTGCAGCCACTAATGCTGTGATAAGACACACTTTTCTGCCAAATATCAGCATTTTCTTTCTTTTCATTTTTTTGCACAGAAAGTATTATAACTTATTGTTCTAGCAAAGGGATTGCACAATTGTATTATTTTTTTTACCACACAGACTTATGGAGCATTGTTTTATTATCAATGTTCTAGCATTGTGATTTTTGAATTTTTTTTAAAGGAATGCTCACGTTCATATTGATGTATTTTAATAAATGTTAAATTGGCCCATTACGTGACTATTTGTGTAGGGGGGGGCCCGACTTATTTTTTTATCCAAAGGGGGGGCTTGACAGAAAAGGTTTGAGAACCACTGCATTAAGCAGAGGCACATAAAGTAATGTGACTGTGATGTTGTTTGTTTATAAAGCTAGCTTTTGACTTGATTAAGAATCATTAAAAAAAAACTTGAAATTTCATAGATATGAGTTTGCAAAAGATCTTATTTTCTGCAATATTTCAAAATTCAAGTGAAAAATCCCATTGCTTTTTGTTGAAGGAACCCTTGCAATGCTTACTTCCAGGTTGGCCTGGCAAAATGTAAAAGTAGAAAAGTATTGGCATCTAAATATAATCCAAGTACCAAAAGTAAAGTAGTCATTGTGCAGATTGGTCCATTTCAGAATAATATATATGATATGTTTTATAATGATTGATCATTAAAGTGTTCTCAAAGCTGGTAAAGGTGCAGCTACTTTGAATGACTTTGTATACTGCAGGGTAGCTTGTGAATTTACTCCAGGTGGAACTAAAGTCTGATTTAACACTTGATTATATTTCACATCATTCATCCACATCTGTAAAGTAACTAAAGGTTTGAAAGAAGAATACAATCCAGCTGCTCCATGTTGCTGCATTTGACCTTTGAAAACAAGAAAGCCACAACTTTTTTGTGAGGATTGCATTCAGGAAGCCCATGACTCACTTCAACAAGCTTTTACAATATTAATGAAGAAACACTTCATGTTAGGCGTGGTTTCACATTTCTGCTTTGTGAGTGACAGTTATTTTCCACACGCTGGTGCAATGCTCTCCTCTCTATTCTCCAGGACAACATGGTGGTTTCTCTAATTCATCTTATCACCCCGTCACATGAGCAAACAGCTCGGAGGTCATAACCAAACACCTCGCTCTGCCTTGTTCAAACACCTGAGTGTTAATTGTATAAAGAGCAATGTGGTCAGTTAAATACACAAAACCAAAGGCAAAAAGTCACATAACTGTGAAGCAATGTGTTTATAACCCATTGGAAATAAAAGCTGGTGAGATAAGAAAGGAACAAATTAAGAATATCAAATATACATTGCCCTTGGTCATTGGAAGAGTGACTAGCATTAAAATACATTATTATAATGTTCTATTTATTCTGTATTGTTATCTTCAGTGTAACTGCGTGAATTGAGGTTGGAATTTATAAATATATTAAGACCACTAATCATTTAAATAAAAGAAATAAATACAAACATCCTTTCAAATGTTTAACCTAATTTCTGAGGATGTATTTTTTGTCGTTTTATTAGAATGCCATTATAATATTATAATTCTAATTGTTTGTTTGTTTGTTTGTTTGTTTGTTTGTTTGTAGCCTTTATTTAACCAGGTTAAAAAATCCCATTGAGATCAACGATCTCTTTTTCAAGGGAGACCTGCGGTATATTAGTTACACATAAAAACAACAGAAAACAAAAAGGACATCACAACATAATTACAGGGGTATACATTAGCAACCTATTTACAGTGACAGGTATCTAATAACATTTCATCCAGCCGTGCTTTAAAATGATGCAAGGGAATCAAAATGCTCAGTTTCAATGTTTTTTGCATAGTGTTCCAAGCTAGAGGAGCAGCGCACATAAAAGCTTTAGTACCTAAAACAGTCCTAGCACTTGGCACATGTAATAAAAACACATCCTGGGATCTCAGGCAATAGCTACTTGCCACTCTCTGTGAGATCAAAGAGCAGATATAAGTCGGTAGTTTACCCAGCATGGCTTTATATATGAATATGTACCAATGACTGAGCCTCCGAACAGTAAGTGATGGCAGACCTGCCTTGGCATACAGGGTACAGTGATGAGTAAGTACTTTACAGTTAGTAACAAATCTCAGAGCACTGTGATAGGTGGCATCTAACCTTTCCAGGCAATGGGCAGGTGCATTCATATATATCAAATCACCATAGTCTAGCACAGGTAAAAAGGTCACAGTGACTAGCCTTTTCCTGGCTTCAAAAGAGAAACAGGACTTGTTTCTGAAAAAGAAACCTAGTCTAACCCTCAGCTTTTTAAGCAGATTAATGACCTGAAGTTTAAAAGTGAGACAATCATCAAGCCAGATACCAAGGTATTTATAACAGCTAACCACTTGGAGTACTTGTCCTTGCATAGTAACAATATCCAAAGCAGTCTCTGGAGTCTTTTTTGCTTTAGAAAAGAGCATTACTTTGGTTTTCTCAACATTTAAAAGAAGCTTTAGTTCAGAGAGCTGAGTCTGAATAATGTTAAAAACAGCCTGTAATTTAACAACCTCCTTAATGGAGGGACCTGCACAGTACATCACGGTATCATCCGCATAAAAATGTAAAGTAGCTTCATCCACATTTTCACCTAAACTATTGATGTAGATGGAGAATAAAAGTGGACCTAAAACAGAACCTTGCGGAACACCATTAGCAATGTTCAACCACTCAGAAGTGAGCCCATCAAAGTGAACACATTGGGACCTTTCAGAGAGGTAGTTCACAAACCACCCCACTGCATGGCTGGATAAGCCAATACTGAGTAGCCTTTGCTTTAAGATGTGATGATCGACGGTATCAAACGCTTTGGATAGGTCAATAAATAGAGCTGCACAACTCTGCTTTTTAATTAAAATACTTGTAATGTCATTCACCACTTTCATTGTGGCAGTGATGGTGCTATGTTGCTTTCTGAAGCCTGACTGATGTTTAGACAGGATATTATTTTTACATAAAAACTCCTTTACCTGTTCACTCACTAGGCGTTCAAGCACCTTCGCCAGAACTGACAATTTCGAGATTGGCCTATAGTTATTTAAAACAGTTGCCTCCCCTCCTTTTAGTAGTGGCAGGACATACGCTGACTTCCATACTTTTGGAATTGTATTTGTGCTGAGGGAGAGGTTAAAAAGAGAAGTAAGAGGTGGAGCAATAAAATCTGCAGCTATCTTTAAAAAGAAAGGTTCTACGTTGTCCGGGCCAGCCGGTTTCTTAGGATCTAACTTAGATAATGCTTCATGAACAACATCAACAGTAAAAGGAGTAAAACTGAAAGGGTTTTCCAGACCACATTGTTCAGAGTCACAGACTGTGGTGTTCACAGAAGCAGAGTTAGTCACAGAATCAAACATAGAACCGCAGGACACAAAATGCTCATTAAAACAATTTAACATAGTAGCCCTGTCCGATATAGAGCCAGATGCTGTGGTAAGGCACGGAGGTAGCTCATTTCGGATCTCACCGGTGGATATCGATTTTATGGCTTTCCAACATTTCCTAGGATTATTTAGGTTTTCTGTAGTAACTGACAAATAGTACTTCGACTTAGCACTTTTGACATGTGAAGTGAAGCTATTTCTTAGCTGCCTAAAACGCAGCCATTCAACCTCTGAGCCTGATTTCCTAGCCTTTGCCCAGGCCTTGTTTCTCTCATGTAGGAGACTGGACAGTTCAGCAGGAAACCAAGGATTGTCTCGTCCCTTTACTCTAAAAGTACATAGGGGTGCATGTCTATCTATAATTTCCATAAAACCAAGATAAAAATAAGACCATGCAGTTTCTACATCAGCACACAGATCGATTTTTCCCCAATCAAACCCAAACAGATCATGAACAAAACCCTGCTCCACAAAATGTTTTATGTGTCTCTTAATAATAATACGAGGTTTAACCTTTTGGACCTTAGTGTCCCTAATTGTGGCTACAACACAGTGGTCACTCACATCATTTGCAAATACTCCCACAGATGGGTATTTATAGGGAACATTAGTTAGAATGAGATCAATTAGGGAGGATTTATTAGGGGACTTAACGTTAGGGCGAGTAGGACTGTCAACAATCTGAGTAACATTTAAAGAGATACAAAGGTTTTTAAAATCCTCTGATACTGCAGTTAACCAGTCCTAAGATTATTATTACTAGGCTATTTACTTGTAATATATTTCTACTATCGAATAGGCTATGTATTTATTAGTTTCTTGTAATTTCACTTGATACTCTTAGGATATACAACAGGCCTACCTTTCAAGACAAGTATTTATTTCAGACAGACAAAATAGTCTTTACCATTTGCTTATTTCATATTTCAACAAATGGGAAAGTGCATATAAAAGATAGGAAAATAAAATAGGCAGATTATCATATTAAATAAAGAGGCTTAAGTTAATACAATTAAAAAATAACATAAGTAAACATCCAAGGTATTCAAAGAAGTAGCAGCGTTATAAAAGCGTACATACGTTGATAGTCCCTTTTAGTATTCTTGCATTAGTTCAGGGGGCGGAAATGTACTAAGTTGGGTCGGCGTGTGACTTACTTCTATCTTAGCTAACGTGAAATGACCTAAAGTGGGTTTATTGACTTTTTAGATGAACCATGCCATCTGAATTATTAAACCCACCCAGTGTGTTAACATGCTACCGAGATGTGTGTACGACGCTTCGCTAGCTGTTAACGTCACTAACGTTAGGCAACCGCAGAACAAGCACGGAATGCGAGCCGTTCATTTAGGGCTCAGTTACCAAGGGAACACCACCAACTACCTATATTTAGAAGCGTACTTGATCAAAATAATGTTAGTTTTAACTTACTGTATAGTCACGTCTGTCCCTGTATCGTCCTGACCATTGTCAGCATTAATAACGGTAAAGTTGAAGAAGAGGAAATAAGGAGGTGAACTTTTTTAGAGCTTCTTTGCGGGTAGCAGATGGTATCCGATGCTAAAAAAGATGGGACATCGTAATGTACAATCCGTATTACATTGAATACTTGTAAAATAGTGTCACAGGCATTCCGTGTATGAATACACTTACTGTAAAGAGGATTTTGTTACTTACCAGATATCCAAACTGCTCCTGTTCGTCTGATTTCTGTCTCCCTAAACGTACATTTGCTGCATTCAGGGTCTGCTCGTAATCCTCAGAATCTCAATTAAAAAGTCTTGAAAATAACAACTTGAAGTCATCAAAAAGAAATCTCCTAAAACAGGGTTGCCAACTCTCACGCATCTGGCGTGTGACACACGCTTTCACTCTCAATCTCACGCTCTCACGCTGCCCAAACTATTCTCACGCCAAAAATAAGAATACGAAGACGAGAAACGGTTTTGAAAACTTTTCTCACGTAGTGATCGTCTTCTCAATAGAACATCTTTGATAATGTATTCTGGCCAATCAGAATCACGATAACGGCGTGGTGTTGTTGCAGGAAGTCCCGACGGAGATGAGAATACTTTTGCGGTAGTACATCTCTATACATCGATACAACATTACGTGTTGATAGAAATCAACACGTAATGAAATAAGACCCCACGGTTTGATGATTGATAGGTGTGTGGGCTGTCTTTCATTTTGACACACAGAACAATGGGGGCTATCCACCCTTATCCACAATGTAAAGTAATTCACACAGCCTCTTCTGTGAGGAGCAGCACTGCTGCAGCAGGTTCAGCTTTCAGAACAAAGTAACAAAAAACTAATATGGCATTCATTTTTTTAAATGTGTAGTAATAGATTTATTTATTTTTCTTCTCAAGAGAGTACCAGAATGTGTATTTTATGTTAGTATTTAAAAAATTCTCCTGGGGGAGAAATCCCCCCAGACCCCCCCTGCAGGGGTCAACTCTTTCACCTGTGGGGAAATTGCAGGATTGGCTCCAGGTCGCCCTTTTTATTTACTACAAGACAAATGTGCCTTTTTATTTCATACAGTTCAATTTGGATTGAGACAGGGAAATAATCTAAACCTCACGCGTGGCGTTTCACTGTCGGGGGGAGCGTGTATGTAATTACATTGCAAATACTGATTTGAGCCCCACCACTGTATGGGTTAGCCCTACCATAGATTACCCAACAAAAATACTCTGGAGCGCATGCGCAGATCTAAGATCCAGTAGAAATGATAAAAAAGTAAAAGTCTGCTGCTTATTGTTCTACTAGGCCAAAATAGAGTCAAAGAGTATATGAGAGTGAGAGTGTGTTAATTAATATATTTGGCAGTTTGGAGTAAGTCTGTAGATTTGTTTGTGTGTGTGTGTTTCATGTATAGGCCTCTCACGATAATTAATATTGTTGGATACATTTTCCCGGAAATTATTGCGATAAACGATAATATTGTCGGCACCGTTGTATGACCATTTTAGACCACTGACATAATGATAATATATAATAATAATTCAAGTACATCCTTTCAAACTGCTAGTCACATCCTCATGTACTGTAAATGGCAATTTATCGAGGTCAGAAAAGTTATCGAGTTCATTTTTATTTATCGTACGATAAGTCAATTAATTGCTTATCACGACAGGCACACAATAAAACAGTGGAAACAAACATGTCTGACTTTCATTAGTGAATGAAACTTTGTGCCCTTTATAGTCTGTGTCCATTATTGTGTATTTGTATATATTGTATATATATCCTATATATATGCTAAGGTCCCGCTGCTGACACGATAGCAGTCATTTCGTGCGCATATGTGTAATTAAACCGAATTAAACCCATGATATCAAAATCTCACTCCAGCCAGGTACCCAAAGTTGGCAACCCTGTCCTAAAAGAAGAAAATAAATGTGACAGCAATACTTACAATGACATTTATATTACAGATAATATACAACATTTAGGTACTTGTTCTTTACTTGAGTATGTTCACATTATACTACTTTTATTCCATTACATTTTGTAGGCAAGTATACTTATTACCTCAGTAAATTGATCTGACAGCTTTAGTGACTTTGCTGATTTTGGTTATTAATGAAAAATCTAAATCAACTAATACACTATAAATTATTATCTGTTAAGATACTCAATAGTACAGTAAAAAGAGTATCTCAAATTCACCCTATCTTTACCAAATGCAACATTAAAATGATGAACACATTTATGCGTCAATAATTCATATTAAGTCTTTTTAAATAATAATAAAATACAATCATTTAATATATGTGTTGTTTAAATGTTCCTCCCTGCATAATGAGCACTTTTACATTTGGAACTATATTTAGATAATAAGATATTTTATTTTACTTAAGTACAATTTTTAATGCAGGACATTTACTTGTAACAACGTATTTTTATACTGTAGTAATGCTACTTTTTCTTCGGTAAATCATCTGAATACTTCTTCCACCGCTGGTATTGTGAAATTGGAAAGATATGTCATTTTTTGCAATCTTTGTCATGTGGAATTGTGAGAATCCCCAGTATTGCCATCAGTAATTGAAGGCAGCTGCAGTGAGGGGGAGGAGCCTGTGAAGATGGATCACTCACTGTGGCTCAGCTGGAGTCAGTACAGAGTCAGTACAGTCACACAGGTGAGCAGCACGTCTCTGGAGTCACATGACAGCACTTACTGTAGATCTGAGACTGAGAGTGCTTTTGCTGTCACAGCTTGGACTTTGAACAACTTTAAACAACATTTTAATTTGATTATTTTATGGTTGGAGAATTATGTTTAAGACCTTGTACATGTGGCCTGTACATTTTTACATTTTACTACATTACATTAAAATACTTTTAAAGAGCCAGTTTGTCTAAATGGCATAGATGTCATTGACGTTGGATTAAAAAAGGTTCATTTTAATTACAACATTTTAAAGAAATGCTTATATTCTCCAAATGTTCACTTCTAGTAAATACACAACATTGGAGCTAAGTTAACACATTAATATGTTTATTGATTTGGATAACAAAACTCACATTCACATCAAACCATTCATTATTACAGCACTTTTTTTTTTCTTTTTTTTAATGAAAAATAAACATAATTTCAGAAGGCATATTTCCCAACATAGTGGTAAATAGGAAATACAACATACTACATTATTGATATATTATTATTTTACATCCATGGAAATGTGTATTCATAGTTTTTTCTCATTGCACATTTATACAGAGGACTCATAAATTAGCAAATATGTCTCAGAATTATATCAGCATTCCAGTATACTCCTGTTGTTCAATCTTGGAAGGATATGTTAAACCATAAAAATGACTTAGAGCTTACATGTTTCAAAATTCCGCTGTGCCCCATTACCCCTACTGTACTTCTATCTAGAAATGAAAACACAACAGGAGTTTGCGTTGGGGTCCCAGTTCCAAACATGGTTTGTAGTTACCACTGATTTCACCAGCTATCAGAATCAAGTATTAAAAAAAACATACATAACTATCTTTCAAACAAAAAAGCAGTAGGCTCTTTTAGTAGGTTTTAGGACGTGGAAAGGTTGTCTCACAGCAGTGTTCATAATTCTCCTCATCTTGACACAATAATGTGTCTTATCAGATCAATTATGAATGTCACACACATTTAATTCCATCATTAAAAAAAACGACTGTAGCTAAATATCTACAATTGATCAAGGAACATGTGCATAACATGCGTTCCAAAGAATGTAAGTGGTTGCACATGTTAATATATGAATAAATTAATGTAAAGGAAGGCATCTCAATACAAGACATAATATGATACAGTGTGAGAGTCAGTTATTTGCCATACTAGGGAAGACGTTTGGGAACCCGTGTTCTTGTGAAGTATTTTCCAAAGTCAAACAGAACGGCACGTGTAGTGCACACCTCCGGCCTGCAGAGTTCACTGTGTGCTCACAGTGTGGAGTTCAGATGTCTTCAGAGGGTCTGTGGCCCTGAGTGGTTTTACTGAAAGTCCAATGTCTGGGATTAGCAGGTTCTGTAAACTCACAGCTGGGTGGCGTTCTTTACGTCCCTATTCTTCTCTTCGCTCTTGCTAATGTCGTCAAACTCAAAGCCACCATTTTCCACAGCATATATGTTCTTTTTTGCTGATTCACCGTCACCAGCTTCCAGGGCTGGAGACTCACTGTCGGCATCATCTGAGCCAGGTTTTCGATACTTCTTATACAACTGGTAGCCTGAATAGGGAAAAAACATGGGTTCAGAAACACTGAGTGGTCATCTTGAGGCTTTTTTAAAAAAGCTTTGGTTGCGGTCGAATAGTCCAAAAATCAGCTCCTTAGTTCTAACCCTATCGTCTATCCCTTGACCTCTGAGTGAAACGTCACAGGGTGGCAGCCCAAGGGATAGTGGATAGGAGAATTCAAAAGGTACTTTAGAGAATCCGACTGCACTTTCACTATCCGACGTGTTTATGATGCGCCAGCGGACGTCATAAATGTGCGTCTGCTGCTGTGGGGAAACTATGGAAACTACAGTTTTCTATACAGCGGACTACAACATGGATGTTTAATAAGAACGAGGGACTACTGTAAACTCATCTAGAGACTCTGCACCGTGCTCTGATGCTGTTGTTTTATGCTTTATGAACGGGGACAACAGAGAAACATATTCTTCATGACCAAAGTTGGAATTGAAATAAAAAAGGAAAGTGAAACTCATGCTCGTCACCCTCTCCCTCCGGTCCACATTAATACAAATGATCCCAATAGCCTACGTATGATTGTATGAAAAGATCTTAAAATCAATACAAATGTATTTATTATAAACGTTAGTCCTTAACATCTATCACTGTGTATATCACCATTCAAACATCTTTTAAAAGTTGAACAAACCCCACACAGCTCAGTAAACACTGAAATGTTGACTTTATTTGATCATTTCAGTAAAAACTAACATTCATATTTCTCTTTTCGATTATTATACTGATGGACGTTCAAAAACAAAGCACTTTGGCAACTTACCACATACGTTTTAAAATGCTTAATAAGCACCGTAACTTTCATGATATCATTTCTCCGTCATAATCGGTTGTTTCCGTGAACGGCCGACTGTTGTGTGACGGCAATGCAAATGCCGCGGCCGCAAGGCATTGTGGTGCAGCATTTTCTCCTCTCCTTTAGGTTAGGGAGGTCCAGTGGTTCCTAAGCTAAAGGAGGTTATAAAGGAAGTTTGAAACCTCCTTTCCTTTCATTTAGAGAATTCGAACGGCACTTATCATGGCTGCCACTGAGGGACTTCCGGGTCATTTCACTCCGTTAGGAAGGTTCCTAAGCTAAATGGACTATTCGACCGCAACCATAGAAATGTTTTGGGCTTCAGTGAAT